GTGAGGTTCTGCAGCTGCATCTTGGCCCTCCTCGCACGCACAGCTTCTGTGCAACCAGGACACGCAGGCCACACAGAAGGAGGTCACGAGAGCGTCTTCACATCCCCCTGGAGGTGGCAGGTGAGTGAAGCCCCCTGTGGGTACAGATGGCCCTTCAGGTAGCAGACACGTACCACCGGAGACCTCATCATCTTCCCAGGATGATGACCCTGGTTATCAGTGATTTTAGTGGTTTTATTTTAGTCACCACCCCACTGTCTTCCTACAGGTTGTGTTGTGCTGTCTACTCCACCGTCAGCCGATGGGTGGGGAACTTGTAATACAGGAAGCTTCAAGGAGTCAGGAAAGACCAGGCACATCCGGCCCTCCGTGAATCCGTGCTTAAAACTGGGTTTACATCCCTTCCCAAAACTGTTTTGTTTCTCCAACTTGGGTGCATAGCATGGCTTATTAAATCGGTTATCAGAGGCAATTTGACTTGGATCAATCGTATGGAGCCAATTCAAACTGCATATTTTTAAAATATTTTTTTAGTTGTTGATAGATCTTTATTTTATTTATTTATAGGCAGTGCTGAGAATCAAACCCAGTGCCTCACACATGCCAAGCAAGTGCGCTACCGCTGAGCCACAGCCCCAGCTCAAATTGCATGTTAACAGTTTGTTTTGCTTTTTCTTTCTTTTCTTTTTTTCTTTTTTTGATATTTGTCAGTTATCAATGGACCTTTATTTATTTATATGTGGTGCTGAGAATCGAACCCAGTGCTTCACACATGCTAGGTAAGCCCTCTACCACTGAACCACAAACCAGCCCCCTGTTTTGCTTTTTTTTTTTTTTGGTTCTGCAGGATAGAACCCAGGCGTTCTCTACCACTGAGCTACATCTCCAGGCCTTTTGTTTTTTGTTTTGAGACAGGTCTCACTGAGTCCTAGAGGCTGGGCTCCTACCCCAGCCTCTCAATTTGTTGGGATGACAGATGTGCACCTCTGTGCCAGGCTGAATGACAAAACATAACTTGGCCATGGGTAAAGATTGGGTGAGAGTTCACTCATTACAATAATGCCACAACTGACAAGAGGACTTGGTGGTCTCTATTGCATGCAACCTTCCAACAGAATGGCTATATCAGGGCTATTAGGAGTTGCATGCCATTTCTGAAACACATATCAATAAAACTCACACAAATACTACTTGAAGAAAGTCCAGCATTATTCTTTGACAGGGTTTCTCATGTAATTTATCAAATAAGCCTAATAAGCTTTTTTTTCTTGTTTTTTGGTATTGGGAATTGAATTCAGGGGCACTTGACCACTGAGCCACATCCCCAGCCTTATTTTGCATTTTATTTAGAGACAGGGCCTCATTGAGTTGCTCAGCACCTCGCTTTTGCTGAGGCTGGCTTTGAACTCGTGATTCTCCTTTCTCATCTACCCAAGCCAGTATATTACAGGTGTGAGCCACCATGCCCGGCTCTAATAAGCTTGATACCTTTCTTTTTAAAAAAATATTTTTAATTGCAGATGGACACAATACCTATTTTTATGTGGTGCTGAGAATCAAACCCAGTGCCTTCCACATGCAAGGCAAGCACTCTACCATTGAGCTACAATCCCAGCCCTCTTTTTCTTTCTTAATATTTATTTCTTAGAAGTAGTTGGACACAATACCTTTATTTTATTTATTTATTTTCATGTGGTGCTGAGAATCAAACCCAGGACCTTACACGTGCTAGATGACTGCCCTACCACTGAGCCACAACTACAGTCCCCCCATACCTTTCTTTCACAAGATAAGAGACACATTTTTCAATACTTTCCAGTGGCTCAACTGGAAAACTCCACAGTTAATTCTAATCCAAAAATATTTGAATTAACTAACTGATCAAAACAGGATCACAGGTCACCTTGAAATAATAGTCATTCATTTAACCAGAATGATAATTAAACACTTAAAAGATAAATACAGGCTGGGGTTGTGGCTCAGTGGTAGAGCCCTTGCCTAGCATGTGTGAGGCCCTGGGTTCGATTCTTAGCACCACATATAAATAAATGAATAAAATAAAGGTCCACCAACATCTAAAAAATAAAAAAAAGATAAATACAGAAAGTTATATAGTTTTAGGAAAAATCTTAGCTTCCCAACAGAGGCCTCAATCTTCTTAAGTGATCAAAACCCAATAATGGTGACAGGGACACAGGGGATGATTGTTTAGTCCCTAGGCCAATTTCCTACCAAGAGTAGATTGACCTCCAAGAGGACATTTTTGCTTTAGCAAAAGGGACCAAATTCTAGTTTTGCATAAGTACACTTTCAATATAGAAAAACTTGTGATTCTAACTACATCTGGATTGATGACAGGTGACATTCCTCAGGAGGTCCCCCTCCTGTAAACCTCCCACTACCTTGTCTCACCCCTTGGTGGGGGTGTCCCGTGCACTCCAGCCTCTCCTGTTGGAACAAGCCATCATTCTGCTTTGGGACCAAAATCTCTCTCTTTTCCCCTTATCAAAAACACATCTTCCACGTTAGTGTCACTTATCAAAACAACCCTTACTTTGTCCACGTGCAGAATCGACCCCCTTGTTATTTCTAGTTTTAATGACCATATACTGATTTCAAATTACCAAAAAAAAAAAAAAATTCTTTTGAAAGGATGACGGGATCGCTTAGGAAGCTTTGCCTAATTTACCTGTTCTTAGCTATTACACGTGAATTTCTCATCGAATATGTTCGCCACTGAAGGAATTCACGAAGCGCCACCTGAAACACACACACTGGGGGCCTATTTTTGGAGAAGTAGTACTCTGAGCCCCCTCCAAATGCCCCAAGCCCCGATCCTCGGAAGGAGCTCACCTTTCCCCAAAGCCTTTTCCTCTGAGGATGTTTCTTCACCCCTGACCACGAGCCCATTCCAGCAAGGTCACTTGCCCGACCTGCCCCACTAGTGCCCTGACGACTGTCCGCCAGGTGGCGCTGCCGGCGGGAGTCGCTGGAGATGGCAGGGGTGGGGCGGGGACGGGCGGCGGTAAAGGACCCTGAGCAGCAAATGACCCAGGGGACTCATCATGTGACGCCACAGGACACTCATCCCCACCCCCGTGAGGTCGACTGTGGAAGGAATCCCTGCTGGGAAGGCGGGCCAAAGACTCAGAGCCACCGATGGGCACCACCGGTCCCCACAGTCCACCACGGGGCCACCGCGCTCCTCCGTAGATTTGGGGGCACCAGCCGCGTTCCCAAGGCCACCCAGGCAGCCGCAAAGCTCCAAGGGTCGGGGCTGTCACATGACCCGTGGGTGGCGCTAGGCCGGAAAAGGCAAAGTGACTGGAGCTCGCAGGCCCCTGCGCCAGGTGCCCATAGCACAGGCGTCTGACCCCCGCCAACCCGCCGCCCCGAGGTTCAGGCCTCCGGCTCCACCCCAGCCCAAGGGCACCCAGAGCCTGGCGTGAGGGTGCCGTGCAGCCTCCCGCGCCCTCTCCCGGGGCTGGATCTGCGTCCTCCTGCCTGCGCTCCCGGGGATGAGCCTGCCCGACCGCCCCGCCCCGCCCTGCCCTGCCCTGCCCTGCCCTGCCGTGCCCTGCCGTGCCCTGCCTCTGCACACAGCAACCAGGAGCCTCCGCCCACCTCCAGCAACAGCTGCTCATTGTAATCAGATTTCAGACCTAAATACCTCCACTTACCAAGACAAAGATGGAGACAGAAATCCTCTAGGGAAGTCAAAATGCCAGACAGGCGTGTGGCAGTCACCTGTAGGGTCACCACTCACGGCCTAGGCCGGAGGATCACAAGTTCAACACCATCTGACAACTGAACAAAATCCTGTCTCTAAATAAATAAATAAAATGGTCTGGAGATGTGGCTCAGTGGTGGAATGCATGCTCAAGGATTTAAAAAAAAAAGCCAATGGTGCAGCTGGTTATATGGGCTTGTCTTTTGATTATTGTTCTGAACTTGTGATTTTGACCAAGGCACAGAGGTGGTTAAAGAAACAGATCGTGTTGATTTAATCTAAGGTCTTGATGCCACAGGACACACATCTTCCTCCCTTGTAAATGTAAATTTTTGTTTGTTAGTTTCTTTGGCTGTACTGGGGATGGAACCTGGGGTCTGGTAATGCCAGGCTGTACTCTGAGCTGTACTTTAGCCCTAAACAATTTTTTCCACCTTTGAAGTGGGAGAGCAAGAAAACACCTAGTAACTTCAGTTCAAGCAGAGGAGGGCAGGGGGAAGACAGAATGTGAGGTGAGAGCTGTCAATCAATGTAAACTATTTTCTCTAACCCATTAGTTATATAAGCTTTCCATTTGCCTTTTGTAAAGTCTTTTTAAAAAGACAAAAACAATCTTTTTTGAAATGTTTCTAGAAGCTTCTTCTCATCATCCCTGGGTGAGCAGAATTTTGGAGCCTACCTTTTTTTAATATATGTTTAAATTTTGGCATTGGGGATCAGACCTAGGACCTCATGCATTCTAGGCAAGTGCTCTCCCACTGAGCTACACCCCAGCCCTTTACTTCATTTGTAGGCAGGATCTTGCCAAGTTGCCCAGACTGGCCTTGAAATTTTGATTCTCCTGACTCAGCCTCCTGAGTAGCTGTAATTACAGGCGTGTGCCACCACACCTGTCCGTGGCTCGGAGATCCCCTCGACCAACTTAGCCAATGGTCCTGCTCTGCCCACCCAGCCACACACCTGAGGCCTTTCTGCAGGACCCTGTCCTGTTTCTGTCAGGACTTCCACTCTTGCCAATGACCCATCAGAAGGCAAATCCCAAATGGTCACATGCTCTCTCATGACACAAACTAACTCTGGATTCAATGGGGACTCATTGTGGAAAAGGCAGAGTCCGACCTGAGAGATGCTTATGGCTGACTCTTTGGGTTCCCAAAGGGTTGGTGGCACCCTTCCCAGTTCCTCAAGTGTCATGTTTCTCACGACTAAAACACTCAGAGTCACTCCAGAGGAACTGGGCTGCATGAAATAACCACACAAGAGACAGAGATACCTTTTTCTTTGGGTCCTGTGACGGCTCCTCTGACCTTAGGGATCCGTGGAAAGAGAGAGCAAGTGCTGAACCCTTTTATTGAAGCCACTCAAATGAGGCCAGGGGTCAGGTTTCAGGGGGCTGAGTCTAGCTTCTTGATGTCTGCTGTCAGCAGGTTGACTGACATCTAGGAAGGCCACACCCAAAGGCAGAGCAAGAGAAGGGGACACACAAAGGGAGTTTCCATGGAACATTCTATCCCCAACAGGGCAAGGGGTAATATCACAAAGGGACAGGTGAGTGCAGCTTACCCCAGGGTCTGCCTGCTCAGAAGACTTGGCCTTGCTGTCCGAGCAGAAAAGAGTCTGGAGGTGCCAGACTGCAGTCATCTTTCAGGTCTCCGAGGTGCCTCAGGACTGGAAGGCGGGTAACTCAATGTGGCTGCCCACACTCAAGGGTCTCAAAGTTGCCAGCTGTGTCTTTGGGGTTATATGTTTGGGCACCGAACTATGAAAAAACAAAATCGCTACACATTGAAGATCTTGATCAGCTTCTATCCACGATTCTAGAATTGGGCGGCTTCAGAACCAGAGCAGGTTCAGGGACCCCCAGGGCTGCGACATGGTCAGGCACTGGAAGCCACGTCCACAGACAGCTGTTTGGTTACAGCTCAGTGTTTCGCCTTTTTTGAGTCAGCTGGCTGCCTGCGATTGCCTGAGGAGGATTGGGCCCGGCCACGAGTACCGTCAGGTCCCTGCCTGGATCATTGGACTCCGGTAGGGAGGCGCCCTCAGGCCCCCAAGTCACTTAATTCAACGCCCTCTTCTCTTCCTCATGCCCACCTCCCCCCCCCCACTTACCTCTATGTGGCTCCTCTCAGTTATGCCCACATCACTTAAGGCTTCCAGGGACCCAGTGGCACCGAACCACTCTTTCCCGTCGGCTTTTTATCCTAGGTTTGCCACCCTGGTGTGGCTCCCCAGTCACCACCAACCCTGAAGAATCACCAAGGCTGGGAGGAGAGGCTCCTGATTGGCTCACCTGGGGTCACATGTCCTCCCTTTGGGTAGAAGTGGTCAGTTTTCCTTCCGTCGTGTTGATTAAGTCCCTCCACCAAGGATGAGGAGGATGAGGGGTTCTATTATCAGAGGAAAGAGCAAGAGATGCTCAGCTGACAAAGACTTCCGATGGCCTCTGTGCCATCTTTGTCACACTGGGCCTGCTGCTCTGGGCAGCTTTTTCCTGTGCTGCATGATATGAGAACAACGGGTAATGAATGAGGTGGAGAAAATGTGCTCATCAAAAATTCCTAAGAGGAGCTGGAGATCGGCTGGGACTAGTTTGGCCAAAGGGAACATATCTGTGCCCCATGGATGGCTGGCTCTTCCTGGGGACAGGCAGGCAGGAGTGGAGGTACCAGGGGAAGGATACGGAGGCCAGGCTGTGCCTGATGTCACCTCCTCTCTGTGCTCTGCCTTGACCTTCAGTGGCGGGCTGACTCCTCACAGTGCCAGGAACACTGGACTTCTCACACTAATGAGAAAGTGGATTACCCATGATGGCGTCTGAAGACGGGGGGAGCCCACAGGCCTGGTGGGCAGCAGGACGGAGGAGAGAAGGGGGGCTTGAGGTGCTCCGGCCTGGCTGTCGGGATTCACGCCAAGTTTTGCTTCAGTCTGCAAGGGCCAGAGACCAAAGAGATCCCAAGAGCATAGGTCCCTCCAGTTTTCTGATCAGGAGGATGGTAACACCAGCAAGCGTTTCCCAAGCCAGCAACCAGTGCTCTCATCCCCACGCACCAGCTGCCGGGGGTCAACAGTTCAACCCAGTTCTGAACCTAAACTGCCCTTGATGGCCACCCCACGGGCTCAGGCCTTGGTCTTACACAGCATCCACCACTGTCCTGGGCCTCCTGTGCTGCTGACCAACTGTTTATAAATTGGGGGATCCAATGACCCCCTCCACTGGTGCATAATTTGCTCCACAGGCCCACAGAACTCAGGGACACACCTATTGACAGTTTATTACAAAGGATACAACTCAGAAATGGCCAGATTTAAACCCAGAAAATACCTTAGGAACTGACACTATCATTTTGTTATAGGCAACTGTTATAGGCAACTATGGTGCCTGAGAGTCTCAACCCATACAATGGAAGCTCCTGGAACATTAGAAATAATTTAGCAGAATAATATTAGCATAATTTTTAAAAATTAAATCATACAGAAGAGCAAATGACTAGAAAGACTCCTCTGCTTTCCTCCTCCTCCCCAGCCTCTGCTTCCCTGGAGGCAAACACATTTATATCTGGTTCATTCAGCAATTTCCTCTTGCTATTTTATATGGGGGGGTGGCACTGGGGATTGAACCCAGAGGTGCTCCACTGCACTATATCACCAGCCCTATTTAAAAATTTTACTTTGAGACAGGGTCTCAGTAAGTGCTGAGGATGGCCTCAAACTTACCATCCTCTTGCTTCAGCCTCCTGAGCCACTAGGATTACAGGCATGTACCACCGTGCCCAGCCTCTTGCTAGTTCTTAACCCATCTGCTTTGAGCATTACTTGTTGACTTCCTGTTTCATAGATGAAAATGTAGCTCATTCACACACCTCATTCCTCACAAGGTGGGTTAGTCAGTTTCTCTATTTTATTACTGTTACTGAGATCCTAGGATCTAGAGTGTCCTCCTTAAGGACTGCTGCTTCCTGGACTTTAAAAAAATACGCCTTGGGCTGGGGATGTGGCTCAAGCGGTAGCGCGCTTGCCTGGCAAGGGTGCGGCCCAGGTTCGATCCTCAGCACCACATACAAACAAAGATGTTGTGTCCGCCGAAAACTAAAAAATAAATAAATATTAAAATTCTAAAAAAAAAATGCCTTTATTTTTATATTATAAAATACAGACATTATTTCATGATTTTGTACTTTGTTAGGTGAATGAATGTGAGCTACTACTTTTCTCAGCTTTCATTTCCCCATTTCTGGTCATAAACTCTTTTATATTGTCAAGGTTCACAGCAGAAATAATCTGGTCTATAACCATAATTAAAGATTCTACAATTAGCTTGTAAATTTGATTCTAAAAGCTGAAAAACTAGTCCCTAGTGAGTTCATTACGGTGGCCTGCATCATTCCCAGTGGAGTGGACGTGTTGTCATGCCCCTTTGTTGTACAGCTTTTTAGTTTTCAGGAGTTTCTGATTGCCTTTCTTTTTTTCTCTTTGCCGTACTCATGTGTATCATATCTTCTTTATGCTTCAGACTTTCCATTCAGGTATTTTCTCTGCCTACCTTTCCTTGGAAACTTTCCCTAGGGACCTTCTCCCTCCTGTTTTTCCTAGACTGCTTCCTACTCCTTGGGCCTCTTACGTGGCAGTGTCTGGGAACGTCCCTGGCCTATTCCACTATTTGGGGCACATGAGGACTGGTTTCTAAGTGTGAAGGGAATTCTGAAGGTGACAGATTACCTGGGGTGCATGTTAGCTGATAGTGGGACAAAGGGATGTTTCTCCTGTGTCAGATGAGGGAGCTGTCCCCGGGCTTCTTCAAAGGGTCCTGGCCCGAGAGGGGCCACCTCAGGGGTGACCCTGACAGAGCAGGGGATCCCTGATGTCAGGCTGAAGGGGGAGTTTTCAGCACCCAGTTAGAGGACAGACATTGCCCATGTCAAGAGAAGGATCTGGGTGCATATGCGTTTCCAAGGATCTAAAAAAACTTTTCCATGAAAAAACCAGTAACCATCCATCCCCACCTGGGCGTGTGGCTGCCAGTAGGCACCTGAACCTCTGAGCAGGTCAGTGCATTGTCCCTGCCCCTCCCCTGGCCCCACACCTTACCCTTGGGACTGCTGAGAGAAAGGGATGAGAGGATGGTGGGAAGGCCAGACCCCTTCCAATCTGGGCCTCCAGACCAGGGTCTGATCCAACCCGGGGCGGGAGAAGCTCCACGCTGGACGGGCATTCAGAACGTCGAGGGTTGACCTGGACCAGTGCTGAGCACCTGGAAGAGCTTCTGTGGCTGCAGAGCAGTCGGCGAGGAGGGGGATCCGCCCCCGACCTCCTCCAAGGGGGTGAAGCAGCAGGTTCAGTGAAAAGGGGGTGTGGGTGCAGCTTGGCCTGTAGCCCTCTCCCCCACTCTGAGGCATGAGGGAGGGCTCCTGGCTGCCCAGTGTACCCGCAGGACTTGTCTCGGAGTGTCCCAGTGGCTCCCCTCTGGCTGGACTCCACACTTGGTGCTGGGATGCTGGGGATGAACCGGGCACTGCAAGGGGGCCAGTGCTGCTAACACGGGGGAGGGGGGGGGTTGCTATAGCAACTCCCTGCAGAGGCAGAACAGAGGACATTAGAAGTCTGTCATCTAATGCTGCGGTTCAGGACCGCTCTGTGGGTCAGGGGTCGGCCAAGTTTCTGTAGAGGGCGAAGAGTTTAACCTTAGGAACCACACAGATGGCTGCCGTCTGCATTTCCTGCTCTCGAAGCCCAAAAGCAAACACAGATGCCACCCTGATGCGTGAGCTGGGGTGGGCTCCAGTCCGACTCGATTTACAAAATCCACACTTTGTCACTTTGTCCTTTGGGTTTAAGTACATTTTAAATTTATAAAATCATATAAAAAATAAAGCATTTAAATTTATGCTTTATTTTTGGGGAGATGAGAGTCTCAGTATGTTACCCAGGTTGGTCCTGAACTCCTGGGCCTGATCCTCCGGCTCATCCTCCCAAGTAGCTGGGACCACAGGCATGTGCCACGGTACCCCAATTCATATCCTTCTGTTCCTTAAGTTTATTTTCCTCCTTCAGTCTTTTACATCATTCGATTCATCCCAGACGTTATTGACTTTTGCAACGATTGTTTTTATATAATCCACTAATTCCTCCTAACTTCCCATTTCTTATTGCCAGCTACAGTTCTATCCTTGTGTATTTCTTTCTTCTTCGATTCTTATTTTTTGTGGGGAGGGTACTGAGGATTGAACCCAGGAGGCTTAACCACTGAGCCACATCCCAGCTCTTTTTTATTTTATTTAGAAACAGGGTCTCTCTGAGTTGCCTAGGGCCTCACTAAGTTGCTGAGGCTGGCTTGAACATGATCCTCCTGCCTCAGCCTCCCAAGCCGCTGGGATCCCAGGTGTGCGCCGGACCTGCATATTTCTATCCTGTGCGTTCTCTCTGTGGGGCCCACGAGTTTTACATCAGGTGGTACACCTGCTGCCTGACCTTCCCCATACCTGCGAGCTCATACACCCTGATGGAATTGGTCAGTCTGTCTGGTAACAGGGACGGAGATGAGCCCCAGGCACCAGGAGACCATGGTCACCCTCCACACAGTGCCCGGGGCAGGGCAGCACTGGGGGAGGGGCTTCCCAGGTTCTGGGGGTTTCAGGGGAAGCGTGGAGGGAGAAGCCGCAGGGGGGAAGCCAGTCCACCCTCCGCCACAGCACAGTCTGGCAGCACCGAGGGACAGCTGAGGAGAGGCCGCAGGCGAGCTGCTGCCCGCGGACGCCCCAGCGCCAGGCAACAGCCAAGATGGAAGGAGGAGGTCTTGGGGGTAAATGGAGACGCATTTCTTAGAACCAAAAGGTGACGGGAAGGCCAAAGGGCTGAAGTGAGAGGTTGGCAGACCAAGAGCGCCCCAGCGAGAGGACTGGACAGAGTCCCCCGGGCAGGAGAGAAGATGCCCCGTCTCCAGCGAGCGCCCGGCGCAGCGGCTCCGGCACAAAAAGGCCTGGGTTCCCCCCCCCCCCCCCAGCGCAGGGAAAGGCCCCGAGAGAAAGGTCAGAAGGTCAGATTCTGGGGACCAGGAGGACGGGCTCCAAGGGTGTCAGACTCCTCTACAGGATCAGCCGACCGGGCGCGAGAGAGCAGTGAAAACGCCCGCAGCCCGGGACTCGGAATCCAGCCCGACTGGTGTGCAGGGGGCTGCGGCTCCGGCCCCAGGTGGCCACGGAGACTCACGGTGAAGACGCTGTGGGAGGAAGTGATCGAATTAGGAGAGAACTCGTGCAGTGCCGCGGCATGTGTGGAGGAAGGGTAGACGGAGGACAGAGAC